AAATCGTCCGTGCGTTAATTGCAGGAATGACATGTGTTACCTCCCATCGATACTAAATAAACGGCTGTCGGTGAGTGATGCATAAATAAAGCGCTCACTTGCATCTCATTTCATTGCAGAGCTCCGACTATGGCAACGACAAACTTTACTGAATATGAAAACCACAAAACAGCCTTTGAACTGTCCTGTACATTGGAGTTTACCGAAGGAGTGCACAACGAACTTACCTTTCTCTTAGTTCTAAATATTTTTCTTTCCATTACTGCATTTCTGGGGAATACTCTGATTCTAGTTGCCCTACAAAAGGAAAATTCACTTCATCCGCCGTCCAAACTCCTGTATTGTAACCTAGCGATAACTGATCTCTGTGTTGGTATCATTGCAGAGCCTTTAGCTGTGACTTATTGGACTGCTATTGTGAAAGAAAGATGGAATATTTGTCATCGGGCAAATTGGGCAGCAAAATTCGCAGGTTATACTTTGTGTTCAGCATCTTTATTTACATTGACTGTAATAAGCGTGGACAGACTTCTCGCCTTGTTGCTGGGGCTCAAATACAGACAAGTTGTAACCTTGAAACGAACACATATAACTGTAATTGGTTTTTGGATTTTGTCCATTGTCGGCTCATCTACTTTCTTTTGGAATCGCCTTGTAACTTCATGGTATCAATACATAGGTACAGCTATGTGTCTAGTCACCACAATCTTCGCTTACACAAACATTTTCCGTGTTCTGCGTCATAATCAATTTCATGTTCAGAACCATGTTGCTCAAGGTCAACGGAGACAAGCAATTCCACTGAACGAAGCACGATACAGAAAGGCAGTGTACAGTGCACTGTGGGTGCAAGTAACAATGGTTGTTTGTTATCTTCCGATTAGTATAGTAGCAACTTTGACTCCTCAGAAGGGGATCTCTTTATCCGTTTACCGCGCTTGGCAATTTTCGGTTACTTTAGTGTATTTAAATTCTTCGTTAAACCCGTTGCTTTACGTTTGGAAGATTAGAGAAGTAAGGCAAGCTGTAAAAGAAACATTACGGCAACTATACTGTTGATCGAGTTAGTTTACTATAGATATTTCTCGACTTTTAATCAAAA